TGCCAGATTTTATGGGTTTTTCTGTTTTCTGATTGTTTTTGGAGCAAAATGAGAAGCGAACTCAGAGAACCTTTGAATGAAGAACCACCACAGCAGGTAGCAGAGCTCTTCAGCTGATCTCATAGTCAGAGCTGAATTACCTTATATACACCTTATTTATCCTCTGATTCTCACGACTCTAATCCAGATCTAATGACTGCAGCAAATGGATTCACACTTTATAAGGACCACTACATAGGAGCTTCACATTTCAGCTCCACAGACTGTAGAAATCCCTTTAATCATGTAGATGAAGCACTGATCTATTTGTCCATCATCCACTTATGAAAAATACACCAAGATCAATTGTGGGCGCAGAACTGGAGGTGAACTTTTGGTTCCCAAAGGAACTTTTTCCATTTTACCTCAATCTGTGGGATTACCTCTGGAATTAATTGGAGCTGAGACGATGAGTCAAGCCTTCTCCTCCAACATCAGTGTCTGACCTCCTAAATGTGCTCTTAAATAAAAATAACATTAAAAATCCTACCAAACAGATCATCTGAAGCCATTAAAGCTGGAAATGCCGACATCTTATAAAACACTGAAGTTTATACGCAAAGACGGGCAAACAAATAGCTGTAGCTGTTCCTTTTATTTCCTGATTATTCATTGCATTGCTGCTTAAAAGAAAGAAGAAAAGGTTTCTGCATATATCTTGTGAAAAGCTTCAAAGTCTGCATTGCAGCCACTAAAACACTCCACTCTTGATATCCATTGACGGGTAATTTAGGAGAGCAGGTGGGCAGGCAGATAAGTCTTGTCACAGTAATAAATCCCGCGGCGCTGAGGTGAATTCAATATGCAGCCAGCAGAACGACAGTGGACGTGCCGTCCAGTTGACCCCCCCGTCAGAATTATCTGACGCCTGCTGTAAAAACGAGGAAAAAAACCCGACCACAAGGACTGGAATAAATTAACCAAACATGACTTTAAGGGCCGGGATCCATCGGAGCGAAGGCGGGGGATAATGAGAGGCAGCTTTATGATCCAGATTTGAAAGTGAAAGTAAATAACTGGAGGTTTTCCTGGACAAGGCTTTGAATTAGAGCACAGCGCCGTTTTATGTTGATGTTTTTACAGCCAACATGACGTGAAGCCCTGTTTTGCAGCCACAGGCCACAGCTATAATTAAACACTCCCAGTCGGACTAATGGAAGGAAAAGCTCACTCTGTCAGCCGGCTAATTGCTCCACTCACTCTCTTGTTTTCAGACACACTCTCTCTTATTTAGTCTTTTCTAATCTAATCTGGTTCAGCGACCTCCACCTCCACTCTTCCTCCAGTTAAGGATGTTCTTGGTTTAATGGGAAACTCCTGATTATTAACTCTGCTTTCTTTTTGCTCTCAGCGTTTTTTTGGACGTTAAAGCTACATATAAACCTAAAACTACTTCAATTTTAAACTTATGAGATTAGCTCCAGAAAAGTTTGGTAAGGGGAACGTTTTCACATCGTTTATCCACTATCTTAGTGTATAATGTCTATCTGAAATAATATAATAACCATTTATACTATTTCAGTTCCTTTCAGATCATTTAAAATATTATTTTCACTAGAAAAGCACATTTTTAAAGCAAATTTTTTCAGTTTTGACTCTGGCTCTGCAAAATTGTTTACTTTGTCACACTGATAAACCTTTTATGAAATGAAGGGAGAACTTCAGTAAATAGGTCAATTATATTGGAAATTTACGTTAGTATAACTTGTGGATTAAAAAGATTTTTTGAAGCTAATCCAGAGAGAAAAAGTTATGAATTATGATATTTATTTATTAGGTTGAACTTCAACCCTTTATAGGGTTTAGCTTTTTATCACTAGTGTTTTTTATCACCTGTATACCCTTGCAAATGGAGCCCCCCCCATATATTACCTACTGTGAATTAAGTTGGAAAAAAAACAGTTAACAAGAAAAAAACGTAAAAAGCTAAAAGGTAAAGTTAAAAAGTTAATAAGCATAGTTAACTATTATATTTACTTTACTTGGATTTAGATTTTACATATGCATAGATATACATACATATATACAGAAGAACTATATGTGTATATATTTTATCTCTTTTTATTCTAGTTTTTATCTTTATTATATTGTGTAGGTGGATGTGTGTGTGTATATATATATATATATATATATATAAAACTGTAACTGGAGCGTGTAACAAAAGCTATTTCCCTCTGGGATTATTCAAGTATTTCTGATTCTGATATTTAGGTTTATAAACTAAAAAATGTAATGTAATGGCATTAATGCCTCTAAGGTTATGTAGGACCAAAAAAAATGTGTTTCTTTCACTTTCAGTGTTTTTCATGAATCTCATATATAGAAATTTTCCTTTATATATTCGGGCAAGTTGGCGTTTCTTGTTATTAAATTAATATTAATAATTTTGCCATCTNTTACATATGCATAGATATACATACATATATACAGAAGAACTATATGTGTATATATTTTATCTCTTTTTATTCCAGTTTTTATCTTTATTATATTGTGTAGGTGGATGTGTGTGTGTATATATATATATATATATATATATATATATATAAAACTGTAACTGGAGCGTGTAACAAAAGCTATTTCCCTCTGGGATTATTAAAGTATTTCTGATTAATTAATGCCTCTAAGGTTATGTAGGACCAAAAAAAATGTGTTTCTTTCACTTTCAGTGTTTTTCATGAATCTCATATATAGAAATTTTCCTTTTATATATTTGGGCAAGTTGGCGTTTCTTGTTATTAAATTGACATTAATAATTTTGCCATCTCGTACCATGTCTTTCGGGTGTGCTGTTCTTTTTTCATCTCGTTACAGGTGATGAAGCAGACTGAAAATGTTTTGTCTCCTTTCTATCTCTTCTTTCTTTCATCTTTTCTCTTTTTTCCTTTTCTTCTTCTGTTTTTCTGCTCTACTTACATTGCAGTGTCCATATAAACTGTAAAGCTCCCTGCATAATTATAATAAAGCAATTTATATGCATGAAACAAATGGAGCTATATGGCGATAGCGGTACTGCTACACTTGTTAAAGTAAAATCTGTTGGGCTCTTTTTGGCATCAAGACAATTATTCTTATTGCCACATTGCCAGACAGAACACTGTAAAAAAAAATAATAATAATAATAATTCTGCCATCAAAATATCCATATTTTTTTTAATCTTACAAAAGTAATAAGGTCTTGTCCTGGTTCTTATAACACTATTGGCTTGAAATGTAGATTTTCAATGAATTTCACTGAGTGCCCTGTAAAGGGTTAACGAGCCCTGCCAAGACGATGTATGAATGTTGACCACTAGGGGGAACCTGGACGTTACACCTAACTCAAAATGTTCCAATCTATAGAGATTGCCATTTATTGTTCAGTTTGTTGCATTCTAAAACTTCACCTCTAGGTGTCTCCAAAACAAAACTATTTTTTTAAAATCCTGTTTTTTTTGTGTCTGTCTTACAGATACCATGGAGCAGTGGTGGAGGTGGCACTTCGCAGTGGTTACCATGGTTACAGTGTACTTCAGTTCATGTCAGTGCGACAACAGAGTGTTTCCATCGGAAACGCTGATCAACAACGTGGTGGCAAACCCCGCCACAGGCCGCCTATACGTGGGCGCAGTCAACCGCCTCTACCAGCTCAGCTCCGACCTGGAGCTGGAATCCCGCACAGAGACGGGCCCACAGCGGGACAGCAAGTCGTGCACGCCGCCCATTACCGAGTCCTGCACCGAGGCAAAGGAAACGAACAATTACAACAAACTGCTGCTGATCCATCCGGACAAAAACCAGCTGGTGGTCTGCGGCAGCATCTTCAGAGGCATCTGCTCTCTGAGGAACCTGAGCAGAGTGGAGCAGCGTATTTACTACAGCGACAGCAACGGGGAGAAGTCGTACGTGGCGAGCGCTGAGGAGGTCGTCTCCGTCGTAGGAGTGATGTCATACTTCAAAACTGAAAATAAAAGGCTCCCAGTTTTCTTGGTGAGAAGAAAAAACATCCTGGACCAACATCTTTATATATGAGCTGCTTTCTGTAGGTGTAGAAACAAACTTCTACGGTAGATTTAAGCACTCTCTCCTCTTTACTCCTTCACTTCCATCTCCTTGCCACTGCATTGAAATTTATCCCAAATCTATTCCTATAAATTATTTTGATATATATCAAGCAGAGATTTCCGCTCATTGCTGTAAACCTAAATCAGGATATTTTAAGACAATATAGATTTGAGATCTCTGTCAAAGACTCCTTCTCCTGCTCTCTGTGTTAGGTTGGTAAAGGGTACGGTGGCCATGACAGTACCAAGCTGATCTCCACCCGCCTCCTGGAGTCAGTACCAGAGAATGAGTGGGTGGAGTTCGACAGCATCATCGAAGCCTCGTCGGTCCAGGCCAATTCCTTCATCCAGCGCTACCAGCACGACTTTCGCTTCGCCTTTAACGACAGCGGCTTCGTCTACTTCCTGTTCTCCAGGACCATTTCCTTGCAGGACAACAAGAACTACACCTTCATCTCCAGGATGTGTGAGGACGATCACCACTACTACTCATACACCGAGCTGCAGCTGAACTGCAGCAGCGAAACCAAGAACTACAACAAAGTTCAGGTGAGGAGAAGCAGACGGCGTAAATGTTTAGACGTCGGCTCAACAACTGATTAACGTGAGCGAGCTGCAATCTGTCGTCTCTGATCTTCCAGGCTGCTTTCGTTGGACCAGCTGGGAAAGTTCTGGCGCAGCGTTATGGAACCATTTCAGCTTCAGACAAAGTTCTGTTCGCCACCTTCACCTCTGATGACGACTCCTCCGCTTTGTGTATGACGCCTTTTCCTGTTTTAGTTACATCACTGAAATAGATTAGATTATTCAGAGTAGATGGAGGAAATCTTTTTCCTGCCACCGTTGGTGTTTTAAATCATTCCTTTGGCTTAAAAAAAATATTCCTGAAGGCTATTTTTGTCACTTTGCAGATTTAATCTGATAAAGGAGCCTTAAATCAAGACTGATATTTGCTCAGAGAAAAACAAATGGAAAGTGTGAAGAAATCTCATCATGTTTAATGAAAAAACACATTTTTGCAAACAGAAACTGTTTTAAACTGATGAAAATGTAAAAATCTATAAGAAAATGGCAAAACTCCATAATATATTGCTCTTCATAGAGATTTATTCCAGACACTGAGCTTTTTTATTTTTATTTTTGAAGAGACAAAGGAAGTTTGATCCGTCCAAGGGTAGTGGCCAGTGGCGGCGGGTGTCTATAAATTGAAAATAGACTTATACCAAAAAACTAATCAAACGTATACTAAGTTATCACACCAGTATATTTATATGAATGCCAACAACAAAAACATAAAAACAAAACATAATTTCATTTCCAGGTTTACTTTTTGCACATAAATATTTGCCTTCTGAGGCTGTGAAGATAAATCTGTTTTGCATTCTCCAACATTGTCTCACAAACCTAAAAAAATTAATGTACCAGTTTACCAGCTATTAATCAGCTTTATATATTTTTTATCTATAATAACTATTTATTTAAGAGCACCTATGCAAATGAACAAACATCTAGAAAAAAGTAGACTATATTCTATTATTTTCCATGTGAATCCTAAATCGTTCATTCGAGGGAATTCAATACAAAAATACTTTATTAATCTGAAAGTGAAACTGAATTTTGTGTTAATTTATGGTCAGTTTTTCAACAAATTGTTATTGATGTTAACAGCTGTAGGGTGGAAGGATCTTCTGTAGGAGTCTGTGTTGCACCGGATCTGGAAAAGCTTCTTAACTGAAGACAATCTTCTAAAGAGATGCTCACTGTTCTGGTTCTTCACTTTGTGTGAGATCATCTCCAGAGGTTTTAGATGAGTTCCTCTATTGATTCTTAAAGGCTTCTTTAAATTTC